GTGTCGCATAAATAAAAATCTACTTCAACTAATTGCTATGTAGTATAAATAATTCGGATTACAGAGAATGTGCACATTCGTAATGAAGTATAGCATCAGTTATGTGTCCCGGACTAGCGCTAAAAATAATGTTCTTATTTGTTTACTTGTTTTGTTAAACAATAAACTAATGAAATTCAATGTTTCATCTTTTACTTTTATTAATAATGTCTGCTCGTGTTAATAACGATGCTGAAGTTTTAACAAAAATATCTGATAAAACATCTAATAAAAAGGCAAAAGTCGAAGATATCCGTGGTAGTAACATCAGAAGTGGGATTTGGTTATACTTTGATTCTGTGTCTATTAATAATGAGAAATATGAGGTTTGTAAAGTTGAAACAGTAAAGGAAAAAAGTATGGTGAAAAATCAACTAGTAATTGTTCTAGACACCTTTCAAATGTTCATGGGATAACCGAAAACCAGGTACAGGGTGGGGTTTTCTCATTGATTACTTGACGAGTTAGAAAAATTTTATAGTAAAAATTTTTAAATAAAAACTTTAAAGTTTTATTGCTTAAAGTTTTTTTAATAATTTTAAAAAATTTTCTTAAGATTATAAAATATATTTTCTGAAAATATTTTATAATGAAAGTATACCTCATATTCTTAATAAATTTTTGGTTTATTTAAAAAATTGTAAACAATTTAAGGGATAAGAAAGTTTGAAATTTTTTGTATTAAATAAAAATATATTTTAAAAAATTGATAATTAATACCAATTAACTAAGTCGCAGCTAAGCAACTCTTTCAAATTAGTTTTTGTTGATAAATTAAATTCATTTAAGGATATTCGATTGGTAATAGTGATATTGTTATCAAATCTGTAGTAAACTGATACACTACCATATTTCTTTAGGATTTTAATTAATTTTGGTGGTAATCCGAAAAAAGTTGGTGATTCAACTTTATTAAATTCTTTTTGAATCTCTTCTATATCAAGCGTTGAATACTTTTTTTGTAATTCACATAATAATTTAAAAAGTGAATTAGAATTGTTTTTTTTCTGATAATCAAAGTATAATCTAGATACTCCAATGTCAACAAGTATAAATGAATATTTTTTTAACATTATTTGATACATTTCTCTGTTTGTTAATTCATCATTATAATCGTCGTATAAGCTTATCTTATATGAATCAACTTTCTTAATGACATTAAGTAATGATGTATATTTTTTGATATATTTGTATATAAATCATAAAATAATTTCTTCTCATCATGGATAGTTTTTTTATTATCAATATTCTTAGACAATTGAGAAATTTCCTGTATCAATGTTGATGTTGTAGTATTTCCTAATTTTTTTAAATCGAAATTCATTTTTTTTACTATTAAAGATTTAAGTCCTGACTATTTATAAAAATATGGTTTTGAGCAAAGCAATGAATTTTATTTGGTTACTTAGAACAATATTCATTTAAAAGATAGTTTTAAGTACCTCAAGTTTAGTACATTTATCACTTTTAACTAGAAATTTTTTTGAATTGTTACTAGAAAAAAAAATTGGAATACAATTAAAAGCTGTAATTCATTAATTATGTTGATTAACTACTTTAAAAAGTATTGTAAAATTTTATTCATTTAATACAGACTCCTCAACAATTGTTAAATAAATTAATTAAAATAAATTTTAACACAGTAAAATAAATTTATATATTTTACCACATAGATAAATTAACCCATAAATTTTAATTTTTGATCACTATTAGAAATGAACATTAGAATCATATTGCAAGCCAATCACAGAGAAATTTTAAATATTTATAGCGTATTAATAAATAAATGGGAATTAAAATTGAAATGTCATATCTTGTAATTGAAAAAATATTACGAAACTTCATAAATTA